AGGTCGAGAATATGTCGTACGATAACTATTTCTTCAATCTCTGTAAGTTTTCGAGATTTAGCGATAGAATCTTGTCGTGAAAATATTCCATGAGTTCGATTAAGCAATGTCGTATAAGGTACTTTATAGATCCGCGCAACCTTCTTAACTTTTAAATGTGGNGTTCGTACGAAGCGTATTTAACGCAAGAATCATATCAGACTCTGTCCAATGCTTAACCATTTTGTTTGTTAAGAAAAAACGCGCTCTAAATACATTTGTGGAGTGCCAAGAAAAAAAATCCATTTCGCTTGGGAATCCAACTCGCTTGTGGACTACGTTAAACTAATAAAAAGTAAATAAATAAACGAACTATATTATTTTTTTCCCTTCTATTATTGTGACGACACGCACAGCTGATGGACCGCACCAGAGTGCACGACTACGTCAGGTATCACGAGTGGTAGATTGACACTGTGGAACTGTCTGTACGAAGATTCTAAGCTCAGGAGAGAAGAGAAGAAAGGACAGAAGCTCAGGAGCTGGAGGCTCTTATATACAGGAGGTGTGCCAAGCGCACTTGCTTAGCTGAGTTCCAGCCAGGGACTGGTCTGGAGCATGGTTGCCGTAGGGTTCCAGCCAGGGGCTGGTCTGTAGCGTAGTGACGGTCAGAACCGTCACAATTATATATAAAAGTAATTAATAAATTATTCTTATTACTAATAAAACATTTATAAAACTATACCTAAACCCCCTCTAAAAATCCTTATTTCTCTAACTAACTAAAGCCCCCCCCCCTCTAAAAACTAAACCTATAATAAATATCTTTAAAAAGATTTCTCTAAATAATCTATTATTTCTTTTTTTTATCTCCCTTTCCCTACTCCCCTAAAACACCTGAAACCCCTAACCTTAAATAAAAGAAACCTGAATACTACTTTCCTCTAATAAACTTTATAATAATCTAATTTATTAAAGCTTCTAAAATAATCCTAATAAAAATAAAATACTTAAGAAATATTTGAATTTAATTATTCTTCATATAGTTTTATATTCGCGTAAGCTCTTTATAAAACTACTCTATTCCCTTTAAATAAGAAAATAAAATCCCCTAAAGAACCTTCTATAACGCCTATTATTCTACGTTTTCCTTACGAAAAATACGCGAAAACCCCCTTCTAAGCGAAAAGTCTTATAATTTTTACTCATATTTTCATTCTTATTCTTCGGTATTTCTATCTAACAATTCATTTCCCCCCTAAAAAACGCCTTTTAAACCCCCCAAACTGTGACGATTATGGTCACGAGGGCTGGATGTCACATGCTCGCTTAGCGAGGCGCTAGCGCGCATGACCTGTATTTAGTTCCCAGCTCTCTCGAGCTCTCCTTCTTTCCTCGTCTTTTGTCCTAAGAATAGAGTGTTAATTGTTCTGAGTTCTACCTGAAGCACGTCTGTCACACAAACAGCGCAGGAGTAAATGCCTTCAGGGAACACAAAGTCTATTATTATAGCTCAAGAAGTGAGGCTCTAGACCTTATTAACACACCACTTGTCCCTCGTTCGTGGCGGTAATTGGGTTATCGAAGACGAGTTAGTTGGGCTAAGTGGTGGCGTAAGAGCTCGCGGAAAAGAATCGGGTTTCGCAAGTCGTCCGGAGTATGTGATCAGGGTCTGAGTATTTGCTTGGAGTTGACTCTCAAATGTCTTCCACCTGAAGTTAATATTGCTGGCAATGACCACGTCAAGTCAGTTTTGAATCTAGCTAATGCTAGTGTACTGTTCCTGAAATTGTCCAACAGGTTCAAGTCTTATATTATATACTAGAAACTTGTAATCCAATGAAAGAGCCCCCATTGCGATATTGAAAACCTTATTAGAAGGGCTATTCCATGATCAAACAATACACACATGATATGTCGTACTTTATAACACAGTCATGTTAAATTGGGCCCACTCTAGAATATAGACAAGTGACGGATCAGACACTTCTCTCAGAAAGCCATAACGAGAACGAAGTTGATAACGAGAAAGACGTGGAGAGTTTATGTTCTACGTAGGAATTATTTAACCAGAGCTCGATAGACAAGGAAAGCAATGGACATTCCTTTTTTTATTAGTATAGCTTATTAGTATAATGGTATGAACTATTTTATTGTCCTCGAATTTCAAAATTCCAGACTTATTAATTCGAATAATTGAAAATTAGAGAATAATTATAGCACTTGTCTTGTTAATACTTTTGAAGAAATTGAATACATTAGACCCGACCACCTTACGCTAGAAAATAGAAAATAAATATATGGTTAAGAAAAAAATACACTATTCCCAAAATGACCAGATAGGATCTCAAACTAGGAGCTAGCTTCTACATACACACACCATAGGGACAGACTTAATACAATACACTTCTATACCCCGATCTATTTCTTAAACTTCGAATACTTATCTTGTCTACCATAGTAGGAGATCTGTCACGCAGTATTGAAATATCCAGATCTGTTAGTCTTTTGACTAGGATTAGCTGTACTAGATTCAAACCCTTTATTAGATCTCCGAAAAGATTTTGTAAAGTAATGCTTGCAAGTGACTGCAAAGCTTTCCAACACTAAACTTGTGCCAGACAACCTATTATATGCTAGCAGCTTGTAGAATTTCGAACTGAAAAGGGTATACTTTTTCATATTAAATCTGGCGAGATTTGAGGGTCAAGGTCTGTTGATATACCGTAGCATGAACAGATTTGCGCTAGAGTTCTTATTATTTTATAGCTTGAATATCACGGAGAACGGAGAATCTACTCAGCTTCTGTTATTTATTCCACATATTCTTGTAAGTACAATATTTCGTAGCATGATTTAATCAGTATCCAATCAAGTTTATATTTTACATTCATTAGAATGACTAGATAGGTTAGAACTTGTCAACTGTGAATATGTATAATTACAAAGAGAATGTATCTCTTAACTTTCGCGTTATTTTCTTATCTTGAATATATTCTCCTCTTTTTTCCTAGACAATTAAGAACTCGTAAAACAACTTATATACAACACACTTAAAACTTGTTTTACTATCGCCGTATATTCGCTGAGGGTTTTAAGAGTAGTCACCCGTGCCGAGAGATTATGTAGTCTGACGAAGAAAGAGTGAATAGATGCCTTGCTTTTCCCTTGTAGATTATTGCTCAAGTCCCTAAAAACTCTTCCAACTATTCACAACACAGTTTCACGAAAAGCATGTAACATGTCCAATCACAATAGCGGTTATAGCGTTACCCTGACTCGACACCAACCCTATCCAACAGAGGTATAATCTTTTACGTGTCTAGTAAACTCATACGATAAATTCACCTATCTCCCGTCACGCCAACAGTGCTCAAAAAAGGCATAAGAAACTGGCCTCTTTCTTTGCCTTTTCTAATTTTCGAAAACACACCTCGTAAAACCACCGGCAACAACATCGAAACCAACCTCAACAACGTAGTTAGACGACAACGTAATGTCCTCATCTATACGTCCAAAAACTAGCAGTTCATACGCTGAAGCATCCAAGTCCCCATCCTTCACCACCAAAACCCTTGTTCTTCAGATCTGGACCTTCAACAAAGTCAAGGACGTTGCACTCGAACTTCAAAACAACAAGGATGATTGGCTCAAGGTGATCAGAGAGTCAATGGTATCCGCTGGCAAGGAATGTCTTCTGGATCACGCCGATGACCTCGAAGTTTTCATCCGCCAGCTTGAGGACATCTTTACTAACCTCTGGAACCTCGCTGCGCCCACTGGTCCATTCAGCTTTAGCTTTAGCTTTGAGCTGCCAAAAGATATCATAGAGCAAATGGCCAAGTTTCCCAGTTCTGCTTTCCATTGGTTGAGATATATTCGGCATATTTGGCGCCCCTTGATTCATACCGATGAGCTTTTTGCCGTTTTCAACGCCATCAACGCCGTTGGAGGGTTCGTGGTGGATATAAACACTAAGCTTGCCAAAGTTGACGAGGTAAGTAGTGCTGGGTTTATATAATCTATTGGGCTTGACATGACTGACTCTGTGAATCATCAACAGAAAGAATAAGCCAGTCACTCTCCGTGCCCTGCTCCTTTTTCGGCTCGCCATCTTAGCGAAATCATACGTCTAACGATCAGGAAGATGCGCAAACTCCACACCAAGCATCGTCCAATCTATCAAAAGTGCCTTTTCTCGGAGTCAACGTATGATCGAAGAGGTTTCCTGAGACGATCGCCTTTTTGTGTTTCTTGCTAGTCGAGGAGGGAATTGTGTGTACAGAATCTATTTCTTTTTGTTTTGAGTGCTAGTAATTCTGTATTAGGGGAGGGCAACGGGGAAAGGGATGAAGGATTTCTTTTGGGGAAAACAGCATGCTCTTTGGGTACACAGACTTAGAGAATAAGACTTAGAGAATATGATTACAATGAATTCCTGGGAATTCATGGCGATTCGCGACTTCCAGTTTGCAAACGGAAACCCGCCAGGGACTTTTGGTATCGAAAAATTTCGCTTGCAATCAGAACTAATTGATGGCCCCAACAGTGAAGCTCAGAGGCAGTACTTGCTCCACTGCCATTTTCAGCTACACATCACACATCCTCTCCGATTAATCACATAACAAATATTTCATAAACCCAAAGGAAAACGTACAAACAGCTTTTAACATGTGCATCTCCTTTGCATACACTTTGAAGTAGAAGAAAGATAGAAAGACAATTCGAGAGGCATATGTTCGTGTTGCGAAGCCAGGAGACATGGGAAAGTGAACCAATTTCAATCGTCGCTGTGCCTCACCAGGTTCAGATGATCAATCATATCCAACCAAATTGGCTAGCACAACCGAGCTATCGTTGAGGAGATCTGTGACTTGGCAATGAGGGTTCCCTGGCGGAATCGGAGGCCGAGGTGTGCGGTTTATGTATATTTCTTGGTGGATGCATATAAATCTTGTCTTGATCCACAGCAAGATTAAGCCTAATTGTGATACTTGATGTGAAAACTCGAGTATAATTCGTATCTCAAGAATTGATTACTTTATGACGCGTTTCCCAAATGTCGGGTCCACCACTGGTCGAGGTCAGACTCATTCCTGGGTCATGTGATCAAAATGTGTTGAGCGAGGAAAATGGAAGCGGTAACACCTTTTACACCTTCAGCATATCTCCTGAGTTTCATAAAGTATCAAAATCTCTGTTTCAGCCCTTTCATATGATTCTAGAATTACTTAAATTGCTCAAATTAAAACATGAAAACTACACATACGGAGTGTTTGCAAGCACTGCCGCTTTTGTTTCCATGGTGAGCGGAGTTTCGGTCGTTTTGACGCCCGTTTTCCCGCTCCTGAAAGCTGCGACTCTGACATGCTCAGGACATTTATCTCTCATTTGTGACAAGTTTTGCTGTCACTCATGCTTATCCTACATCAAACGGAGTTTTGTTGCTTCCTGTTTTGCCACCTGTTAATTGAATGATGTCGGATGAAGGGAACGATTCTCTCAGTCCTACAGCTAGAGCCTCCATACGGCCTTCCTTAACCAACCGCGCCTGCGAAAATTGTTCTCGAGCAAAGGCCAAATGTGTCCCACAAGCGAATGGAGCGGATGAACGATGTGCAAGGCAATTCCGCTTGTCATTTTCTTTTGGTGGATTTTACTAAAGCTGAAATAGATGTTTCCGTTTGAGGAAGCAATGTGCCATGCTTCCTCGTAGAACACGGAAAAAGAGATTACCGAGTAATAGCACGTAAGTTATAAGCTAAATCCATCCATTGCTTTTGGTGTCATTGCATTCAAGGTTATGTGCCCAGTTGGCAGGAGAAATCGGAGTATAATTTCGTGTCATTCGGATTGATCCAAGTAATCAACCGAGTTTTATGGGTGGATCATTCTAATCGTCTATGGAACGCCCGAGCAATTATTTGATTGTATTAAAAGTTTAAAATAATGAAAGTTATTCGACGGGGTTTGTATCAAGATAACAACTTTTCATATACACTGAGAAATTAGTTGTGAAGCGCTTAGAAAAGAATCCAGCAGCCCCCCCTTTTACTGAAGCCAAACCAGGCCAATATTGCTAACAAAGAACAGGCTTAGCCAATTGGAGGAGAAAATAGAGATTCTGGTTTCTCTTCTCGGGGCCCATTCCGAAGCGCTAAAGCCAGATCAATCATCTCAGTCGACAAATCCAAATGCTACGCCATCAGACCTTAGCTCAAGGGATTCTAATAGGGCTACTCTTCCCTTCGAGAAAGCCCAAGTGGAAACAGGAAGCTTCGAGGGGTTCAATCAAGAGATGAATAGCGGAAACTACATCCTTGCCGGAACAACTCTCCTTCAGCCTCCAACTCAACGTCCTTCTCAACCCCATCGAAATCGTAGCTTCTCAGTTACTGCTCAAAATAGTTGTCCAGCTCAGCAGCCTCCTCTTTCAAACAATTATGACCCGCTCTTTCTACAGCCCGGCGACGAAGCTAATAGTGTTCTCACAAATTTCAGAGAAAAATTCGCTAGCCACTATCCATATTTGGTTTTTCCACTTCACTTAAATTCTCATAAACTTCAAGAACAGAAGCCGTGGGTATACAAGGCTGCGATACTCGTCGGTTCACTCCATCCAAGAGCGCGTCAGATTTCGATGTCAAAAAGCCTGTGTATGGATGTTGCTGAGGCTATGATATTAAAAGGAGAAAGGAATTTGGATATGCTCCAAAGCATGTTAATACATAACGCCTGGTACGTCATGATTTGTTCCATATTATTACTTTGTTTCTCAAGGGTGGTGGTAGTAATATGCGGAGCGATGTTACAATTCATTTCGCAGCTAAGCTTTAATGAATTACAGAGATATTCGCTGTTGATGGGCGTTATTACAGCGGCTTATTACTACAACGAGTTATTCTGGGCAGAGTTATGATGTTAAAGCTTGTTTGGTCCTCAGCAATATGTATGAAACTGCGGAGGTTAACAAATGAATGCACATCTAGGTCTTTGTATTTCTCTCCAATATCTCCTCCGATGGCCCAGTCAACGGCCGTCTTCCAACTTCAGCATGCTCTGGTATTTGATCTGGGTCTCAACAAGCCGGTCAGAGAAGGCGATCCCTCGGATATGCTCCCGAATCCTTCGGGATTTTTGCCCAAAAATAGTGTTACAGAAGCGAAGAGAACTTCTGAAGAACGTCGAACTCTACTCTGTGCCTTCTGCTCCACATCAGTGTACGTTTCACCCATCGTATGGTGGCATGGAAATTGATAAGTTACATTAGAACGTCGCTATTCGTACGCAAGATCGAGAATTTGCACCACACTCCTTATCTCGAGTATTGTTGTAAGATTTTGGAGGATGCGAGCGAGTTTCCTTCGGATTTGATTTTGGTTGCCGCGACTAGATTGCAATGTATGAGCGAATCAATCCAGCGAAGTCTGCTAGTGAAAAATGAGGGTCCTATAATTCCAAGTTGTATGAGAGCAGAGTTAGTAAGCTATTGGCAAAGTTTATCGGATGAACTCCGTTCTAATGGTGCGTATTTTGAAACAAATGCAAGATCGAGCTGGCTTATTGACATACTTTGCTTACCAGAATTTCTACTCACGACTTACTACTCGGTCGAAGTATTCCTTTACGAACCAATCATCCAATCGAATCCACCCTCGTTTGTATTCGGCAATGGCAACGCCCAGCGCTTAGAAATGTTAAGCACTTGCCTTCTCGCAGTTCAAAAGCTGCTTGATTTGTCAATTGCACAGAAAGTTAGCAAATTCGCAGCATTATCCGGCCCCCAGCTTTCGTTCATAGGACTGGGACTTTCGACTCTTTTCAAACTATCCGTGGTTGAACAGCCAGGTTGGGATCTAGCACAAGTTCGGCAAAGCGTCAAGATATTCGACTATTTTGATCACTTGATTAAGCAGTTCGAGGCAGTAAGTGTTACAGCTGACCAACTGCACCCCGAACCGTGTAAATTATCTTTTTCAGAAGGATGCGGTCGAGCTCTGAAGAGGACCAAGGGCATTTATGGGACGAAAATGGGGGTGGTTTCGGGCGCGAACCTTGTGCCAGAACACGAGATTTCCGGAATCGACGGCGGACTGCTTTCTATGGAATTTGACTGGATCGACGATGCCTATTGGCAGGACATGATGGGAAGTATGATGGGAGATGTATTTTTGCCATGAGATCTTTTTGTTTCGTTTGTTTCCTACACGCAATCAACAAGCCTTGGACGATTTAAACGGTCTTGGAGAAAAATGGATCATTCATTGACACAACGGGGATAGTGGCAACTTCCAGGTTGTTCGTACTCGGTGACTTGCCGTGGCGTTCGTACTCGCAGTCGGCCGTGTAAAGATTTTGAGCCCCCTGTCAGAAGGTATGTGCCATTTGTTTGGTAATGTTTTGTACTCGTAATTATGACAGCGGTGTATAATAATAAGTAAACTATCGTGTAACATCCACGAGTGCCCTTTTTAATGACTTTGACTAGTATCCGGCTAGAAATCCCTCGCTAAGAGGTCAGCTATCTTCACAGGCAATTTGTGACATTTGTCCCAACAAACTGGATGACTACTTCTAACAACATCTGTCAAAAGCTAAGTCATGGACACTTAGGGGGTGCAAGTTACAATGTAAATACTTCTAGCCACTCATTTCCCGGCGAAAAATGGCGCAGGGCTCGTAAACCACAGGGGAGAACCTTCGTCACCGTGTCAACAATTGGAACAAGATTGTGACTTTGCTTGAATAATGAGGGACCCCGTGCCGTCCCAAGCACCCGGGAGGCCAGGAGTGTCTTGAGTGGTGGCCAGACACAAGCCTAAGGGGGCGATGGGGCCATAAGGCTCGGACTGGCTTTTGAACGACCGGGCCCGGGCTCGCATATCCTTTTACACATCCGAGGAAATCTTGATAGAATTGGCCTTTTTTTGGCTGTAGATAACATCCCTTGGCACTCTAGACCGAATCAGGTACTCGCTTCAGGGATACGCGAGGATACGACCCATGTTTATGGGGAAGGCCTTAAAATTGATATGTACACTAGCACATGCGCGAAGTAGTCCTCCGATCCGTACGATTACCTCGTTTATTCATGGGGTAGAATCTAATAACCCAGGGCTCTTCCGCTTTGGAAAGATGAGACGATTTGGTAAAGAGAGGAAGTACTATCTTCCACAACAAACAACATGAAAGAAGCCATGAAGGACTCCACTGAAGCGGAGGTGAAGGAGAACCAGAACTCTTCATCTGATTCCTCTGCAAAATCAACAAAATCAGCAAAATCGAAGAAATCAACAAAATCGGCCTCAAAACCTCCTATGACGGGTACAACTCAAAATGACACGGCAACAATACGGACAGAGGAAATACAGTCGACGGGGGAGGCTATTTTCAGGGCAGTCTCTGGGACTCCCGCAGCACCTGTTGCAGCAAAGACAGACCAACCTATCGTGTACCTGACGGGAATGAAATTATATCTAGTGCTTCTGGGAGTAGGATTGGTTGTATTCCTGATGATGTTGGATCAAACAATTGTGGTAACTGCCATCCCAAGAATTACTGCCGAATTCCAGTCTACGAGTGATATTGGTTGGTACGGATCAGCTTATATGTTGACGATGTATGTTTTATCCTGTCCACTAGCACACACTCTTTACTTTGTATACTAATAATATTTCAATCTAGTGCTGCCTTTCAACCACTTATGGGGAAACTCTATCAGTATTACAACTCCAAATGGACCTTTTTGGTTGGTTTGGCAATCTTCGAGTTTGGGTCTTTGATTTGTGCACTTGCAAACTCATCCTCCATGTTGATCATAGGAAGAGCTATATCGGGTGCTGGAGGATCAGGATTGGTCATTGGATTCCTTGCTATTCTCTCCGTCACAGCTGCTGTGGACAAGAGACCATGTAAGGATTTCATGCATAATGCCACATTCACAAGCTTAGCGCGCTAACAACTCTACTAGACTACATGGGTATTGTTATGGGATTCTCGTCTTTGGGTCTCGTTCTCGGGCCAGTTCTAGGAGGTATATTCACCGAGCACGCAACATGGAGATGGTGTTTCTGGCTTAACCTTCCATTTGGTGGAGTTACAATGCTTATTCTTGCACTCATCAACATCCCGAACGCGGCTGAGGTTTCCGAGAAGAAGGCGACATGGAAAGAACAACTCAACCGTCTTGATCTTCCCGGTTTCGCTCTCTTCGGACCAGCTATCATTATGCTGCTTCTTCCACTTGAATGGGGTGGACACAAATATGACTGGAAGTCACCTACCATCATTGGCATGTTTTGTGGAGCAGTCGTTATGATCGCTATCTTCTTGTTCTGGGAAAAGTTTAGAGGGATGGATGCCATGATTCCTCTCCCGGTCCTCAAGCAAAAGGTTGTTATCTTCGCAGCGACTACGATGACGTTGTCTCAAGGTTCGCTACTCGTCATCACTTTCTATCTTCCAATCTGGTTCCAGGTTGTCAAGCAGGCCAGTCCAACAATGGGTGGTGTTTACTACTTGCCATCCGTTGGGTCCCAAGTCGTCGGTTCCTTTATTGCAGGCGCTCTGAGTAAGTATCCTAAAATTAAGAATTGCCACAAATACTAATTGATTCCAGCTACTCGTTTCGGATTCTATACCCCATGGGCAGTCTTGGGATGCGCATTGACATCCATTGCATCGGGCCTCCTCTCGACCCTGAGCCCCGGTTCTGGTACAGCTCCATGGGTTATCTTCCAATTGATCTCGGGTTTCTCGCGTGGTCTTACTATGCAGCAGCCTCTGACCGCTATACAAGCTGCCGTGCCCAAGAAAGAATTTCCTGTCGCCAGTGCATTCCTTATGTTTGCCCAAATTCTTGGGGGTTCCATCTTCATCAGTTTGGCCCAGACGATATTCTCCAACCAGCTCAAACCAGCTTTGGCACTTTTCGCTCCGGAGGTGGATGCCGCAAGGGTGTTGGAGGTTGGTACTACAGCCTTCAGAACTGTTGTTGCAGAAGGAAGTTGGCCAGGCGTCATTCAAGCATATAATAAAGCAATCACTGCTACCTTTGTAAGTTCATACTCCCACCAACCTTTGCAAAGAAGAAAAGCTAACGTTAAATCAGTATCTTGGAGCAGGTGCAGCCGCTGCAGCGTTCTGTGCAAGTTTCGGAATGGGATGGGGCAACCTCATCAAGATACGGCAAGCTGAGATCGCAGCCCAAACTGCTGCCGCGCCGACTGAGGAAAAGGTTTAATGCACGACTTTTGTTTTCTTACTAGGATTCTTTTTGGGAAAAGCCGAAGTGCTTGAAGTTATTAGCGTGGAGTTCAGGTTCTGGGCATAGAGACGTATATATATGTCTTCATCTGTGGCACATATACAATGTAATAATATTTTAATTAAGAAAGAATATACTCATCGAGAGGACTTTGCTTCTAAAGGGGTTAGGTTCGTCTTAATCTTTTCCCTTTCCGCTGTGATCTTTACGTTAGTAACGTATGTTTAGGCTCACGCTTCTAGAAGACTTTGGTACAGACGATTTCGACTATTTTGGGTCTAAGACTAATGTAAAAGGTTGGCGCTAAGCCAAAAATCGGTATTGTTCCTAACTTCAGGTTTTATACTTCAAGCCGGCCAAGTTTTTCATTCAGAGGAAGCAAAGATAACAAGTTTAAATCGCGAAACTATGAATCTGCTTAATGCAGAGTTCATCATTGGATCCACCTATTGAAAACCAGCCCGGAAAATTGAACCAAGGTAAAATACCAGTCCATTACTCTGCACACCATGAAATATCCCCATGCTAATATAGTTATGCGATGCTTTTTGAGCAATACTGTAAATGATTCGATTTTCAACGACGTTATCTTTACGACATCGGAGAATGGAGATGCTAGGATTTTTAGGGCCTTCTAGAGCGAGGGACGGGAAGTCAATTTTTGGTTTCCGCAAAAGTTTAGAAAATGCTTGGTCACAATAATTCAGGGATGAATTGTGGCCACAAGAAAAAAGTGCTTTGGACTCAACGAACACGTCAGCGAACACGTGTATACACATTCAATAACAAAAAAACTTCTGTCAATAACAAAACAACTTCTGTCATAATCTATCCTCATTGTCATGGCTACCGTACATTATAAAGTTTGACCAATCACATGAATTTGATGCCAAGATGCCCAAGAACAATTGCGCAAAGGCAATAAATTCCTTCATTGTGAAATTTAAATCAAATTTCCTTCCAATCATCCGCTTTCTAGTCAGCAACTTAGGTGCGTCAATCTCCCCAAGCACAATACGCCTTTACCGGTCCGAGTACCTAGGATATACTTTCATGAAAATTCTAACCGAATCGAGCCCAACCGAGAATACCACCTAGATATGATATTAGGGACTTCCTCGGCACTCAACCCTATGCCTTAGAATTGCCAGTGAATGTTCCCTAGCCATCGCTAAGTCCCTATCTTTCTACGTAGCTCCTTCCGCCACTAATAACAAGTGCACCTACTGAACATAAGTCTATTCTCTCTTCTGCCCATTTGAGTCAAGTGTATAACTCTATGTATAGAGAGTTGTACCTGGGTAGACAAATGTGTAAGTACGAAGTAGTAGATAAAACTTTGATTCTGAAGTGGATTTCCCTTCTGAAACTGTACACCGCGGGATCGTTGTTGTATTTGACTTAGAGTCATGAAGACAAAGATTTTTCTCTTGGCGAGACCGACTTGATATCTTGTTTTGCAAAATATTCCACACTGTTATATCGGATCTATCACGTTGAGATACGATTTCCCTTGCGCGAGCATCTCAAGTACCTATACCTGCTCGCACATTTCCATCCCAATATTCGAAATCACATCCTGAATGTTGTATGCTACCAGGAATTCTGGGCAGAAAAATCTCGACTTTACTAGGTAAGTGTAAGTGCTATACTGGCCTGACTATTCATAGCTACTGTATGAGTAGACGAGGTACGCTAGTATAAATTTAGCAGAGCGACACCAGCTAGTAGCTAGTTGTACATAATTGACCAGTTTACTATTTCTAACATTAGATTATATTGAAAACCTGCCTTTTGCTGCTGAATCTTTTCATATCTCTTTAATAACACCATATTGACAGCCGATCCCACATAAAGAACCCATACTACTGGAACATTTGGGAGTCGTCTACAAGCCCGCTTGAAGTTACATGT